CGTCCCCCTCCCATATCCCATTTCCCTCATTATCTAGGATAACCAGGGAGCATCCCGAGGTGGAAGAGGCTGCGAGGATGCAAGATGCACGGTGGACCCAGGCTGAGTGCTTATGAGGGGTTTCCTTTCACAAGCCCCTGCTCACTGTGGGTGGCACTGGCTGTGTAAGCAGATCACCTTCACCCTACAACAGCCAGGGTGCTCCTTTTATTTTGGGGAAGGAAGGCTCATCCATGCTCAACACAACATCTGGTACAGGCACGTATTCTCTGTCCTGGCATGCACAGGGGCAGTGTATCCCTGGCATGGGACAGAGGGGTGCTAGTCCCCAGTCAGCTCCCTGGCAGCAAATCCCCCCTTCCCACACCAGGAGCCACGCTGGGGAGCAGGAGGTGTCAAGGAATGGAAAGCAGAACCACGGCCGCCCCAGGGGAGCCAGCAAACACATTTTCATGTGGGATGCAGAGAAGGAGGCATCTGATCTCCCCTTCTCCCCCTCCGCCTCCTTCCAACACACACCCACCTCCAGCCCAGCTGCTGGGGCAGGGAGAATTGGGGTTTTCTTTCCCCCCATCCCCTTCCAAAGGCCATCTGGGCTTCAGACCTGCCTGTGCCTCATCCCGTTCACAAGTAATTGCTACCTGGTCACACTGGACCAGGAGCAGAGCCCGGGTGGTAACAGAGCACAGTGACCTTTTTTACTGCTGGGGCAGCCTGGCAGGGTGGGCTGGGGGTAGCGGGAGTCTGGAGGGGGGTATGCATGCCTTCCTTAACTCCTGCTGTGCCAAGCGCTGCAAGGCACTGCCACAAGTTTGCAGGCAGGGACTGGGACAAGGGCACACATGGATGTCCCTTGTTGGGGTGAAGGGGGTGGGTGGCTCGTGTAGATGTTCCCAGGCTCGCAGAACATGTGTAGGGGGGACCAACACAGACAGGAAGAAAGCCGAGCACTGGGAAATCCCCTCCACCTTCCTGGAGTGTGTGTCCCCATCCCATAAATGTGGCACCAGCCCCTGGGCTCATCCTAATGTCTGGAGCTGTGGGTGGGCACTGGCTGTCCTTGGTAGCCCCATTATCTCTCCAAGCAGGTTGATGGGGGTATGTGGCCATGGCAGGGAATGGGATCCCAGCCCACACTGTTCTCTGCAAGCTGTCAGCTGAATTACTGGGTTCAAGGGCTTTTTTTCATTTTTCTCTCTCTCTCTTTCTCTTTTTTTTTTTTTTAATGCTAATAGCTCTGCATTGCACTGGCTACTGATCCCTCATTAATCTGGGCAGCGCTTCACAGCCAGCCAGAGTGACTTTTGGCAGGTGCACAAAGGCAGGCAGTGACATGCAGACCCCCCCCCCCGGCCAAAAAAATTACCATGCGCAGCCTTCCTCCAACTTTTGTCTCTGTGTGGTGGGGACGCGGATTAAGGAATTTCTCCCTCTGCCTTTGATGCTGTGTGTCCATCCGTCCCTCCATGACCTCCCCAGTGTCCCCCCCTCTCCCTGGCTCTCCCTGCCTGTGTCCAGTTGGACCCGGTCCCATGTGCTTTCCCATCTGCTGCTGTGCTTCTGTGCTGAGCCATGGGCACCCACCCAGGGATTTTCTCACCCACCATGGCAAATGTTGGATGTGTCCCCCAGCTGCCCAGCTCAGAAGTCCTTCATGCAGGCAGATGACTTATGTGTGGGGAGAGATAGATACTGTCTTCTATGCCTTCTCTTTTTGTCTGCTGTCTAAAGAGGAACTTAGAGCAGTATCCTCCCAGGTCCTACAAGGAAGGTCCTCCACATCCTCCAGCCTGGGTCCTGGGGAATATGCCTCCAAGTCAAGACATAGCCTCAACCTCATTGTGCCTGCAACACCCCATCTGCAAACACTGAGCTACAGGCTGACTGTGACTGGAGGGAGGCAGAAATTGCTCCCAAGGGAAAGCAGTCAGCTGGGAGGGCTCTTTGGGATGGAGAAAATGCTCCGGATGGAGCAGCAGCCTGGTTGGACCAGCAGGACCACAGTGGGGCTGGTCTGCCTGCAGCCTTACTGCTGCAGGGATCAACCAGGGGGGCTCAGAGAAGGCTGAAAGACCTATAGAGACCCCCCCACAGCCTGGATCTTCCCAAGCCCTGTGCTTGTTCCCTGCTTCCGAGGCACCCCCAGCACAGTACAGGCCAAGCTGGAAGAAACAGGCTTTACAGGAGGCTGGCAGCTCACACAGTGATGTTTCATTTAATTTAATTGTCATTAGGAATTAATGAAAACAGCCTGTCACCTCTGAGGACCCTGATCTAGCTTGGGCTTTGGTCCTGGGCTGAGGAGGGCTGGAGTTTGGTGGAGTTGGTGGGATGGGTCTCAGTCAAAACCCAAACCCTCAACAGGTTGGAGGATGCACAGCTGTGTCCTGCAGGAGAAACTGGCATCCTCCTCATCTTCTTTTCCCCATACTCCCTTCTGCCCAGACTGCAAGGATTTAAGTTTTCACCTATCCCATAAGTGGAATGGTCCAAATCCCTTTTCCTGCAGAATGGGCTATGCTCAGCCCCAAGATGGGAGCAGCCACCCCCCTGGTATAGACTGTGTTGAGGACCTGCGAGGTGCTATACAGGACTGCTCTAAGCCTGACCCTGTTATCTAGACAAGATGCAGCACCTGTCACTCCAGGACTGGGCTCTCAGACTCTCTGGTGTGCTGAAAACTCAGGGAGACCCTGCTCAGAGCCCACCAGGGTCACTGGGCTCATCTGCCCCCCATACCAGGCTCCAGCCAGGATCTGACCTTGGACCCCCTTAGAGGGCACCCTGGGTAGCTGCCCATGTGCCAAGGGGTCAGACCCAATGGTGAGACACAGGCTAGGAAGGTGTCTCCTGGATTGTAGGGACAGATTCAGGCACCAGCTGTCACAGTGCTTTGGCTAACGGTGGCTTAAGTTTTAGGCACATCTCAGCTTGGCACAAGTCCTGCAGTGAAACCACTGGTACCCCATTTGCATGGTGCAAAGAGAGGCAAGAGTCAGCCTCCCCCCATCCAGCCCCAAAATCTGCAGCGATGAGATGCACGCACACCTTTCTCTATGCTGCTCCCCTCCTGAGGTTTGGTAGCAGCTTCACACTTTGCGGGCAGCAGGAGGCCCTTTGCTCCCTGACGGCTGGTGGGGGGACTGGACCGGCTGGACCTGCCTCCAGATGTGCTCTAGATGTGGGGCTCCTGTGGGCTCAGGCTGGGCAGCACGAGCAGCTGGGAGCACAGAGCCCAAGGGCTCCTCTGTGCGAGGCAGCAGGCTGGATGCAGCCCTGGGAGGGAGTAGGGAAGGAAAGGCTGTCACCTGGAGCAAGAAAGCAAAATTTCCCCCCCTCCCTAGGGGAGATGTAGGGATGTCCCAGAGAGGCTCTAAAAGCTGTGGAGGGGGTTGCAGTTTGCATGACAAAGGAATTAAATTTGTGCTGGGGTGTTACACATGCTGTACTGGGGAGACTGGGAAAAGGCTGGGTCTTTCTCAAGGTGGGTTCCTGCTTTTCAGGTACCCTTGCAGGCAATAGGGTGAAATTAACCACACCAGCCCCTGCCCAGGCCATCGCATACATCCCTGGTGTGCACACCATCCTGCACGCATAAAGCCACAGTGCTAGGGCATTCTCAACCTGCAGGTGCATTGGCCCAGGTACCCCTGGGCACCCCAACAGTGTAGCTTCTCTCTCATTGGGCTTCAGCATGTGATCAAGGACCAGACAGAAGCTTTCGGCTGCGTCTTGCTCCTTTTGTTGAACTGAGTTCTTAATAAAACTCCTGTTTTGGTGCTCCCCAGGGCAGTAGAATCCTGAGCCTGACCTCCAGGGTGGTTGGGGAGGTGTGGAGGGCTCCATGCAGGTTGTACCATGAAGTTCCCCCCACCTGTGAAATGTCACTTGCTCTGCTTGAGCATGAGCCCCTGGCTGAGCACCAGTGCTCACAGATGGGCTGTGTCAGGCCCACACCATCCCTCATCCCCCCAGCATTTTTATTATCAACATGTGTCTGGAAACAAGGTGGTTTGTGTCAGCCAGGGCACAGGGGAAGGACAAGGGATGCCCCACGTCCCCCCTGTGTCATGCACAGGCAGTGCAAGGGGGAGAATGAAGCTAGCAGTGTGTTGGTCCTCAGCCTTCAAGACTGGGTGGAGGGTGCAGTGCTCCTGCCCTAGTCCCCTCCTTGCCATCAGGACCCTGAGGCCAAGCCTGGCTCCATCCCTAGAAGGTCAGCAGGGTACTGAGCCCTCTTCCTCTATCACACAGGTGTGTTTGCTCACTGGTGGCTGTGCAATGGGGGTGTGTTTCTGCTTAGAACCTGCATCTCACTGCGCTCAAGCTAAGCTTCAAGTGGATCAGAGATCCCTGGGAGCTGTGGACACAGTCTGGGGTTAAACCATTGCACCAGCAGCCACATCCTCAGAAGGATGGCAGGATCTCCTGTGGCCCAGACACCAGTGACAAAAGGACAGAGGGAATTTTTCTAGGAAAGACAGCTGGACACAGCTTGATCCTTGTTCAAGGGCCCAGCCAGAGGGATGCAAGCCAAGCCAGTGGGACACCGGCAGGCAGAGAATCAGGGTAGACAGAGGTGTGCTGGTGGGGGAAGTCTCCTCCCAGCACTGGCAGTGATGCCCAGAAAGTGTGCACACACCCCAGCTGCTGCCCTGGATTTTCAGCTCCCAGACAGCCACCCTAACATGTCTGAGCAGAGCCTGCCCGCACATCTGCTAGTTTCTGGTGACCTCTAGAGGAAGCTGCTCCACTCCGGCACCATCAGTTTGAGATCAGAACGGGGATTCACCAGACCTTTGGCTTAGCTGCAGCTGAAACATCCTCCCCCTGCATCCTGTCCTGGGCTCATGACTCTGCCCCAAACCCCGTAGCACTTCCCAAAGTCCTGCAAAAGTCTTGTTATCATCCTCTAGCTGAGCTAACCACGCTGACCATCTTACACCTCCCAGTGCCGGGGCTTCCTCTGACCACCCTCCCCTCCCCGCTGCTGCCCTCAGGTTGAGCTGTCAGATGGGACATCACACACCATCACGGATGCCTATGCTGGCAAGGAGTACATCATCCAGGTGGCGGCCAAAGACAATGACATTGGAACGTGGAGTGATTGGAGCGTGGCTGTCCATGCCACCCCCTGGACGGAGGAGCCCAAGCATCTCACCACGGAGGCCCAGGTCACAGGTGAGAGCCCCCCTCCCAGTACAGACAAGCTGTGCCCACAGCAGGGGAGGAACCCAGGAGTTCTGGCTGAGGGTCCCCCCTGTCCAGCTCTGTACAAGTTTCAATCCCAGCAGAGAAGATCCTCCCACCCTGAAGGGGGGGATGCAGCCCTTCACCCTACACTTTTCCCCCACCTGTGGCCCTGGCAGCAGATGCAACTGTGGCCCAAGGGTGCTGACTCAGCTTGCCTGCCTCCAGCATCCTCCTTGCCAGGATGCTTGGGGTGTGACAACAAAGCTCAGGGATGATGATGTTGATGACAATTATTATTATTATCATTATTATTTTTCTTCCGTGGAGCTCTGCCCCACTCCAGCCCTCCCTCTCCAGTCCTACCCCCTCCACACCTCTGACCCCACACAATGGCTCGGAGTGATGCCAATTCAAAATAAAAGCCACGAAGTTAACAAGCCTCTGTTTCTATGAAAGAGCTGGGACTGTGTCCAAATGAGCGTTGTCAGCCCTGTGTTTCCCAGAAAGGCTAGAGCAGACTGTGCTGGTTCCCCTGACTGGCACTGGCAGTGAGGCGGGGGGAAGCACTGTTGTTCAGACAAGCAGGCAGGCAAACAGGCAGTGACCAGGCTTCTAGCTGGGGCCGTGCATGTGAGCTGACCAGATGTGCATGTGGGGAGGGGGGGTTGCTCAGTGCCCACACCCTCCAAGACCAGCTCTGTGTGCAGACCCCAGCACATGGGTGCAAGCCGTGCTCTGCCAGAGCCATGACAAAGCTCTGTAGGCCCTGGTGATGGTCCCTGCATGGGGATGCGGTAGATGCAGACCCCACTGCCAGCAGGTGGAGGTGCCCCCTACACAGAGACAATGCCCACCTTACAGAAACAGCACCCAGTAGAGCACCTATTCTGGGTGTTCTATAGTTCAGGCAGCAGTAGGGAATTGCAGCCCCTCATCCTCAGGGGGATGAGCTCCCTCAAGGAGTGCAGGCACACCCTGCAGCAGTCCTGGTGTCAGGGTTTTGGGTTTGCTTCTATACCCAGCTGCGTCGTGCTAAATGCAAATACCACTACCAACGGCACCTGCCTGCTCCCTGTGCAGGCACATGCATGTCCCTCGCACACATGTCCCTGTGCATGCATCAGGCTGCAGCCATGCAAGACTGATGCGGAACACACTGGGTCCAGGCTGACCCTCACCGTGACACCTCAGTGGAGTTGAAAGATGCCACAACAGACCTGCTCTGGCCCCTAGCATCCCCAGCAACCGTCTCCCCAGACTGTCTGATGGGGGGATACTCTGGGACCCTCTGGATGTGACCAAAACTGCCTTAGCCTGACTGCCTATCCAAGACCTTGCTGCAAACCTGCAGCCCTCCACAGGGCAGACAACCCATCTGGTCCTGTACAGAGGAGGGCAAGCCCTGTGAGCCAGCCCAGCATCCACAGCCATGTCTGGGATGTTGCCTGTGAACAGGGGATGCTCTCTGCTGAGCACTTGTGGCCATGTCATCATGACTTCTTAGCCAAAATTCCCACAGAGGTGATTGACAGAGCAGCCCAGCTGGGCAGGATTGGGACTGGGAGAGATGCCCAGCTCTGCCTCGTGGTGCAAGGATCTCTGAGCACTAAGTCTCAGTGTCAGAGCAGGGAAAGTCTCATGGACCACACAATCCCATGGCTCATCATCCCAGCCCCTCAGCTCAGCCCTAACGTGGCATGGCAGTGAGAGGAACAATTTGGGGACAGTATGGTGCCATGTCTCCACCACTTGGGGAGTGGGGCTGCCCCTACAGGATGCATCCCGGGGCACCCCAGCTCCCCTTGCCATCCACTCTCCCTCCCTGCAGAGACAACAAGCGCTAGCACCTCCTCTTTCATGCCGCCCCCCACCACCAAGATCTGCGACAAGGGGGCCGTGGTGGGCAGTGGGGCCGTGGCAGTGTGTTGGACAGCTGGACTGGTCTTGGCTGCCTATGGTGTCCTCTTTATTTAGTGAGTATCTCGCAAACTGGGGGCATAAGAGATGGGAAGTGGGTGCTGGGAAAGGGCAGGGATATAGGGACCCCAGAGGCTCCAGTGTGGTTGGGAAGGGGATGCTCCAACCAGGCTGTGGGTAGAGGGCATTAAGAATGAGCCATTTGGAGTTTTCTTGCAGTTTTTTGTAAATGCACCAAATCTGGCTGCTTTTCCAGATTGGGTGTTTTGGTGGAGATCTCAAAAACGGCTTTTTAAACATTTTCTGCAAAACCTGCAAAGGGGTCGGTCTTTGATGCCTTGTTCTCAGGAGCCCTCTGGTTTTTTAAAAGGCAAATCATGAGGAAATCTAAGGCCTTTGTGTAGTGGTAGAAGAAGAATTGTCCAAAATCAGAAAAATCAAAGATGCATCTCAAAAAAGTCCTTGGTTTGGCAGGCTGGAGAGCCCCAAAATGCCCCGTTCCACTCCAGACCCAGGCTGCTGTCTCATGGGTCCCCCCCACACCCTTTCACTGTACCCACACTGCATGAAGACTATGGGATTGATCCTGGCAGCAGCCAGGTGTGTCACTTTTTGGGGATAAAGACTGTGTCACTTGTCCTTCGGTGACCAAGGAAGAGCTATCACAAGGCAGCTCCCATGGGTGCGGGGTCCTTTGCTCCTTTGCTGTGTCATGTCCACATGTGACATTAGTGGTGGCAATGGGAGCCAGGGGTGGATGGCCAGTGTCCAATCCTGGGAGGAGGAGGTGGAAGTGATGGGTTTGGGCACCTGGGTTCTGGAAAGGGGTGAATTTCCCCGTGGAAAAAGGCCAAATTTTGCTTCAGTGTGTCCCCTCGGTGTCTGGGCATGGCTGAGCAGGACTGGTGACCCCTCTCCTCCCTGCTCGCAGATCCCCATCTGTCCATCCATCGCAGCCCAGCGCAGACGCCTTCTCACCGCCCACCGCCGCCGTCACCATCCCGCCACCCCCTTCCCGGGTTGAGTCTCTTATCTCTTCGATTTTGCACACGTTGAGGACGTATCACGCTTCTCGCCATCGCTTCGGAGGAGGACAGAGCCGCTGCCGTCCCCTGGGGAGCCACAAAATCCTCTCCCAGCCCGGAGCGAGGAGACGCACTTGTCCCCCCCATCCCTGTCCCCCTTTCCCCAGCAAGGCGAAGCGAGCCTGGGCACCATGTCACAGCTGAGGACCCCCCTCATACAGCTAACCCCCCCCACGCCAAAGACGTGCCCGCCGCCCCGCTGCCCCCCCAGGTGACAGGGAGCGTGACGGTGCACTGAGAAAAGGGGATATGAAAATGGGGGGGGTGGTGAGGGGAATGATGCTCCCAGCTGTGTACCCCCTTATGGCAGAAGGGGGTTCCCCAAGGACCGGACTCGCTCCCCCAAGCTCTTGACCATGTGGTGAAGCTTGAGGGGTGCACGGGTGGGGGGTGTTGGTCTCATCTGAGGGGATGATAGAGAGAAAAACCGGTGACTTTCACAAGTGTGGTGGAGAGCAAGGAGCTGGCAGGGTTTTAATGGAAAAAAAAAAAAAAAGGAAATGAAACACCAATAAAACCCTCCTGCCCCTTGCTGAGCACCTGGGAGAGCTGTTTCTTCAGCTCCCCCCCACCCCCGCAGCACCCTGCAGGAGCCTTCGCCACCCCTAACCCCATCCCCACATCACCCCTAAACTTTTAACCACGTTGGATACAGGGAATCACCCCCGTTGACGTCTTTGTCTCATTCTCCAACAGAAGCAGAATAGCTCTGCTGTTGCCTTTAGAGCTGGAGCCCTGCAGACCTGTCCCCTGCTGTCCCCCGCTGTCCCTGGCTGTCCCTGTGCCTGCTCTGCTCTCCTCCCCATCCTGCCCCAAACCCTGTTTTGTAAAGACACCTCCTCTTGCCCCTGCCTGGACCCAAGCGCAGTATTTAATACCGTACGTCCTAGTATTCCCACTGTTGACATGCTGTATTTGAATTTTTTATAGATGTATATATATAAAAAAAAAAATCAAAAAAAAATATAGAGGGGATAAAAAAAAAGCTCACACCGAGACAATGCACACACACGCGCGCGCACACACACACACACACACACACACACGCACCAGGAGAGACGGTCTTCATTAAACAATCATTTCATGATGGCTGCAGCTCTGGGTATTATTTCCCCTCTGGCTGGAGTGGGTGGGTTCAGCTGCCTGCTCCCACATGTGGTGCTGGCTATGATGGGGAGGACCTGGGGATGGCAGTGAGCGGGACACCGACACTCTGGAGCCTGCCCCAGTTGAAGCCATAACATCATCTCCCCAGGGGCTTGAGGGGACCCCAAAACTGGCCTTCAGGACATCCTGAGAAGGTGCAAGGAGGATGCCCACCCCTGGAAACCCCTGGTGATATAAAGGGGATGGTTGTCACCACCCTGTGTGGCAACCATGCTGTGATGGGAATGTGCCTCGAGTCCCCATTCACATGCCCTGGGGGATCCCATGTGTCCCCAGGCTCTGGCTGCACCTTAACACCTCTCAGCAGGCAGGAGGATGGAGACCTGCCTGAACCCCACTGCAGCCCAGAGGCTGGAGGTGGCACGTAGTCCCAATTAATGCATTTTCCTTGTCTGATTAATAATTTCATGTTAGGAAAATGTTACTGGCCCAGATGCTCTGAATTAAACTTCCATCAGGGCAAGGCTCACAGGGACCTGGTGCAGGGGCAATGGGTACATCAAATCATGCTGTGTCGGGGTCTGGCCTCTCCCCATGTGCCTGGCTTGTGAGCACCAACTGGAGCAGAGATGTCATTGAGCTGCAGTTCATCCCAGGGCGAAAAAGTTCAATTGTTTAAGCAAATTGCCGGGAGGGAGGGAGGGAGGGAGGGAGAGAGGGAGGGAGGATGTGAAGGAGTCACAGCCCTAGCTCTACAAAGCCTGAAGGCAGCACCAAGCCAGTCACTAACTCCTTCCAAGCACTTGCTGTGATTTTAACCATACTGGGGCTTTATTACAGGAGAGCTCAGTCCCATGCAGCCCTGCCTTCGGCTCAGCAGTGCTGGCAGCAGCACTGGCTTGGTTCACTGGTTAATGTTCCATTACCAGACAACATGCCTCCGTCATTTATTAATGTTTCATTAGTGTTAAAAACATCTGGTAATTAATTATGCACTGATTATGGATTCACAGTGCTAAAAGCCAGGGTAATCTACCATAGCAGATGGCTCTTTGGGTCAGGGGGAAGGGACAGCTCTTAGCAGAGATGAAAATGTCAGGCCCAGCCCTTGCTTGGGGGACGCATCCCAGACAGACGGATTGCCTTGATGTCCACCCAGGATCTCCATGGCTTGTCCAGAGGCATGCTGTCTCAGGTTATTAAGCAGAAGAAGCCTGTCCCTCTCAAGCTGTTTCAGGAACCAGGGGAGCTGTATGAGAAGCCATCCGATAGTGGCTTTCACACACAGCCCCGGGCACCCTCCAGCACCTGGAGTTGGCATGCAGCCTGCCGATTACTCCGGGATGCCGTTTGTCAGCCCCTCCACAGTGCCTGGCCAGATTAAGAGGCAGTCCATAAAGCTAGGGGTGTCATAAAAGCCCACTCGTGTAGTGCCCCAGCAATATTACATACAGATGTGCGGAGATGTTTCAAACTGGGGAAGGTCCCAGGGGAGCATCCCTGCCAAGCAGAAAATCCATCCACTTAGCAGTATAAATCCATACAGGAAGAAAGAGGGAATTACAGTGCTCAGAGAGACCTGTGCATCACATAACCTGAAATCCAATACATCAGCAGGGCGCAACGGGTCCCTGCATCTTCCCAGCACATATGTGGCAGTAAATCCCACCTTAGGTGTTGTTTTCGGCTGTTGCTGATGCGAGAGCAGCCTTGCACTGAGCTCCCTAGGCTCTGCAAGGAGGGATCAGAAGTGCGGCTGGAAAGCAGGAGTTATTTCCTGGCCGTGAGGCCTCGTAGAAAGCAGTAAGCCCCCTTGCTTGAGCGATGGGCTCAACAGTGGAGCAGGCCCGAATCACTGCACCTCCTGCATCCTTCCCTGCGGCTGGTGCCAGCAGAGAGCTCTCCAACCCAATAGTTGTAGAAGTTCTCTGCTCCCACACCAGCCTCACAGCAGCCTGAAGCCCCCAGGTGATAACAAACAGCTTATTTATCACAAATTGGGCTGACAGAGGTGAGACATTGGGCTTTCATGGGGCACCATGCTTTGGTGGGAAAGGAGGAGCAGTAGGCATGGTGCTGTGTTTTTTGACGGTCGCAGAACATTAGACAGTCCCAGGTGAGAGAAAGCAGGTGAGGCAGGCTCGGCTGCTGAGAAAGCACACTGATAGCTGCACAGCCAGACCCAAGCACATGACCATCCTGCCGAGCTGGGTGGAAATGCTAGATGGGACCCATCGAGCCAGCTGGCAGAGGAGAACTGCTGCTTATTTGCACAAGGGTGGACCTGGTCCCCAAGGGGCAAATGTCCTCCTCCATCACAACAACAAGGAGAGGTGAGAGGTGGAGGCAAGAGCAGCAGGAGCTGGTGGGAAGGTGCTCCCCAGGGTGAGGTCATGAAGAGCGGCATCTGCAAGGATGTAAACAGAGTCCGCCTGACTTGGAGGAGCCCTGACTCCTGCAGTCTTCAACCTGTAATGGTGCCTGCAAAATACAAGACCCTACCTCAAACCACATGGTATCAGTTCAGAAAAAGCGTATGTCTCCTGTTCAGAAATGTAGCACTGGATGCCCTTAGCAGGTTATAACCTTCCTCCCAGAACTTTCTTCCTCAGTGGCAGGACAGATGGCTCAGACATGAAGGTCCCACCATGAGGAACGGCTCCTGCCTACTACCAGTGGTGCAGGAATGAGACGAGGAGTTTTGAGCGATTCAGCCACCACCATATAGGGAATCAGACAAAGCTGGAGTTGGGGTCCCTGGGGCTAACAACAGCTTGAGACATTCCCACAATGTTGTAGGCAGAGGCTTGTAGTAGCAAGAGGTGACAGATGGCCACAGGAGACAACAAAGGACAGCCTTGGATCATCTTTTTCCTTGTTGGCTCCAGATCAGGACTTGATGCCTCTCCAGAAGAGGACGTCTCTTGTTTAAGGAGCCTCAAAGACTCTGACTTTCCTATTCCTCATGCTCCTCCTAAAAGCCTCGGCCTCTGCTCTGGCACTGTGTCCTTGATGCCCATGCCCCTCTGCCTGCAGCCTGACGCCCTCCCGCCCCACCAGACCAGCTCTGACACCTCCTCACCCTCCAGTAGTGCTATGGCTGGCTAATCAGCACCTGCCATTGCTTTCCCAGCTCCCCATCCCCTCTCCAGTGCTGTGACCTCCCCGCCCACCTCACCTGCCCCTGCCTCTGCCTGCTCTGGACAGGGTGACCCACACTGACCATCTGCTCACAGCATCCCAAACCTCCCTGCATGCAGACATGGCAGCCGAGCGCAGCCCACCCAGCTCAGCTGCAGCACAGATACCAGACCACAACAGGGTCCCCTAATAAGCAATTGACTCTTTTTTTCCTCCCTTTCAAGAAAAAGCCAAGCATTAATTTGGCTTCTGCCACTGTGTTTATCTAATAGCATCACTGATTGATTGTCTTATTTATAACCCGGATCCGGTGTCTGGGCTGCTCACAGAGACAGGGTGATTGATGTAAAGAAGACAGCCAGAAGGGGACTTAATGGAGCCGTGTGGCTGAGCACCAGTGTAGTGGCTTAGGCATGAAATGAAAGTGTCTCCCAGAAGTCTGGGTTCTTCTTCTCCTTCCCTGCACAGTTCCCAGGGAAGCTGCTAAGCGCTGGGAGAGATCAGCGTGCTTCCTACACGCTGCCAGGAGTGATTAGAAACCGTACTCAGGTCTCCTCCAGCAGTCTGGAGGAGGACAGGCCAAGGGGACACAGCCAACAGGGAACTGGACTGCTTTCCAAGAAGGCGTCATATAGTCTCTGGGAAGGTTTCCCCCTTCCAGGGTGGAAGGGGTGGTTCAAAGGTGTGAGACAGCCTGTCCCTGTTCATCCACCAGCCCTCTGTCAGGGTGCCCGTCCTGCAAGTCCTTGCGCAACCAGATGGCGCAGAGAGGAGACTTTCCTATGGGTGACAAATTGCCCTCCTGCAGGTGGCAGCATCTTCCAGAGGTCTTAGTTGTGTCCAAGGCTGGGCTGGGACTATCCCACATCTCTAAGGGAGGTTTTCCTCACACCTGGGGGGCACAAACCTCAGCAGAATCACTGATCTGTCTCCCCATGGAGACAATTGCTGCCATAAAGCACCAGCAAAACAGGGAAGGAGCTGCAGTCCCAGGAGGTGACATGCCATTATGCAGGGTCACGCTGGGAATGTGTGACAGCCTGGACATGTCCCAAACCTCCAGCCTGCAGACTCACCCCAGAGCAGTTTGTCCCCCAGCCGCAAGGCTGGGTTGTGGCCAGGAGACGGCTGACAACTCCAAGTCCCCAAGAAGGTGTTCAGCTTTGATCCAAACCAGAACTAAACCCTCATCTTGTCCATAAAGATCAGTTTGGGAAGAAAACCCAACATATTGGTTCAGTCAAAATATTTCATTGCTATTTAATGGTCTTTATTTCATGTCTGATTGTAACAGATAATCTAATACAAGCCTAGAGCAAAGCCAAACACAGTTGTTTCATTATGAAAGACCCCATCAGCCAGCTTTGACGTGGCCAGACCCCACTCTCTTCCTTGTTTTTTGTTTTTCTTCCACATCTGAAATTTGAGCAAAACCAAAGTGGCTTCACAAACACTGCTGTTCCAGTAGACTGAATGAAACCAGCATGGGGACAGGTCTCCAGCACTGGGCATGTTGGTGTTCCCATCACCAGTGTCTGACAAACTCCATCCAGTGCCTTATGGTAATGTTTTATTGCTTCCAGGAGAAATTTCAGCCTCGAAAGTCCTGCTGAACTGTCAGACATGAGCAGGCTGATGCATGCTTCCTTCAGCTGAGTTGCCCCCAGCCATGCTGGTCTCTCTGGGGGTGATGCCACTACTGCCTCACCATGCATC